TCCACGACACCCCACTCGACGACACTACATTACACTGCACTGCATTACACCGAATGACACTGCACCACAGATAGACAGGTAGACAGATAGACAGATAGATAGATAGATAGACAGATAGACAGGTAGACCGATAGACAGACAGACAGATGAAAGAGAGACAGGTAGACAGATAGACAGATAGATTGATGGATAGATGGATAGACAGGGAGACAAATAGACAAATAGATGGATAGATAGCTAGATAGATAGATAGCTAGATAGATCGATAAATAAAGAGAGAGAGAGAGAGAGAGAGCGATAGATAGATAGATAGATAGATAGACAGACAGATAGATAGATAGATAGATAGGTACTGTAGATAGGTAGGTCGTCAAAGAAAGAGAGAGAAAGAGAGAGAAAGAGAGACAGAGAGAGAGACCTCAACCACCTTTCGGTCCATGAGTGGTTTCGCTCTGCCATCTGTGATTCGCAACAACAAATGTGTCCTATACGTTTCCTATTTTTGAAACTTCCGCCACCGCCTTGTGCGGTACTACTGGTATCTTCGTTTTCATACTCTTTTGGTTAACTCCCTCCTGCTCTTCTTTCGTGCCACACTGTCGTTTAGTTTTCATCTCGCACGGTGTTCTGTCCGTCCATGCTTCGTCCTTGCTCCTAGTTTGCATACTTCATTTTTCTTCATTGCGTCGAGTTTCTGGAAACGATTTTTTCGAACAAAAACATTTTTTTTGCTTAAAACAAAAGTTGAGCTGGTTCCGGTCAATGCGCGGTTGCATTTTGAGAGAATATGGTGTTCCCCGACAAAGGAAGCATGTCTGTATGATGCATGTTTCCTTGCAGAAAAAGGGAACATTTTTTAAAACGTGCCGTTCCTTGCTGTTCAAAAAAATGTCACGAAAATAAAACGTATAAGGTTTCCCTTTTTCGAAATAAACCGTTTTTTTCCAGCAACAAAATCAAACACAACAAACAAAATATCAAGAACACAAAAAATATTCAAAGATTCTTGCCTGGACCCCCATTCCAAGGAGTCCAGACAATTTTTTTTGTGGGTTTGTTCGATTTGTTTTTCCATTATTTTTTTTTAAAAGTCTGCATCTGGCAAAAACCCGGGAATATATTTTAGTGTTTTTTAAACTTGCCAAGGTTTTGTCAATTCTTGGAGGTTGTACCTGATTTTTATCAGTTTGATTGCCATATTGAATGTCATTTGCTGTGTGAAAATGTTGGATACTTTGGCTAAATTGTTGTGTAAATGTGACTTTCGCATTGTCAGGAATCATTTCATACGGGTGCAAATTGGAAAAGTGGAGGACCCGTTCTGCAAGAAACAAAAGCAGTTGCTTGGTATGTTTCGTTGGGCCTGTTTCTATCAGTGACGCGTTTGATGCATGTGCACCACTGCGCGACCCACAAGGGGACAAACTGCAACAACTCGGTCAGCGCGTGAGGCGCACCTTGGCTTTGTGCAGTTGGATTTATACTGGTGCGAAGATTGTCGCGTGGTGAACAGCAACACTTCCAGCCATAACAAACCCCGAAAAGATACGCCAAGATGCGGCACAGGCTACGATTAGCTTGAAATCGAAGCCTCGGCGGCTACCTCCACATTAGCAGGACCCTTGCCCCTTCCATAAAACGCAATTTGCTGCTTCAGGTTGCTTCACAATGCATCATACATACAAAAATTGATGGAACGAATGCCTTCCATTCATACATACATGACATATTCTTCCTGACCCATCCATCCACCTACCTCCGTTCATCCGTGCGCTCATCCATCCAATCCATATCGCGTCTACGCTCCAAAACGCGTGCGTACATAAACGTGCATATGTTCATAGAATCAAACGCGTTCTTACATACATAGACACAAACATCCATTCGAATCATGCAATGCAAGCAAATGTTTCTGAGGAAGAAGGGCGATTTTTTTTGTTGTTGCAACATATCGAAAAACTTCAGTCGACAACCCAGAAACTGGCAGCACTAGGAACGCCAATGATAAATTGCCGAGCTGTTGGGTTTCGCTCAGTCCCTTGTCAATCTCACGGCATTGATCGGAAACAAGACAGGTCAAGGCGGTCAGGGTTGCATAGGTCAAACGTTGTGCATGGATGAAAAATGCCGCGCAATTTGGTCGGGCAAACCAGCAAACCACTGGCATTGGCGACTTAATTGAAAGAACAAAAATTGAATCACTTCGCAATAACACATGAAACCTTTGCAAATTGCAGCCCCGGTTTGGTCAGGTTGTGGGCGAAAACGCGGTTGGTGTCCAGTTTGAAGCCAGGCCGAGAGTCTGCTATCAGACAACCTACCAATCTAAATGTTTTATTTGTACATGAAGTGACATCTGGCATTTAGTGGCAGCTTGCCCCGGATTTGTATGATGAGATCATCGGCATTGTCCCAGTTGTTGTGATACACTGATACATGGATGGCAGAGGGAACCCGCTGATGGTTGGGGTTCTGAGTGTTTCTCTTTTTCCCTATCTTTCAGTCTCCTTTGCTACGTGTTTCTGTTTGTCTATGTATTTATTGATCCATCGCTCCAACGATCCATGTACCCATGCATCCATCAATCTATCCATCTATCGATCTGTCCATCTATTTGTCTATCCATGCATCTCTTTCTCTATTTGTGTGTCTACCCATCTATTACATTGACCGGTTTTTCTACCTATTTATCCGCCCATCTACCTGCCTACGCATTATTTTCAACAGCTCAGTTGCCAAAAATGTTCCCAGAATCAGGTGTTTTTAGCATTTTGACTTGTGAACGCGCTTCGTGCCACAGCTGGGTGTCTTTTCAAACAGCTCAACGTCCCAAAATGCTCCGACGCTGGGGTGTTTTGAACGTTTTGACTTTGAAATGTGTTTCGCAGCCGTGCGCCGCTTTTCATTTTCCATCCCAACAGATAGTTCCGCACCCGCCGCTTTAGCGAACCTGCTTTTCAACCCTCCGGAACCCGAAAACATTAGAAAAACAGGGTCTCGCGATTTTTCTGTTTTTTTGAGTGCTTTGATCTTGTTTCTGCTTGCGCTGACTTCTCTTCTCGCAATTGTTGTTGTTGTTGTTGTTGTTGTTGTTGTTGTTGTTGTTGTTGCTGCATCTGTCCGTAAGTCGGAGGTTTGACCTTTCCAATTTCCTTCGCACACTTACTTTTTGGTTGAGCCAGCCTTGAGCCAGCCTTCATCCATTGTTGCCGTTTTCTTTTTCCTCTTGTTTCGCCTTCCAGGCCCACACCCCTTAGACGCTGATGAAGATGTGCCATCATGACACCCGGAAAAAGTAAATTGTGCATGATCAAGATTTGCAAGACTTCGATGACAGGGAAGACAATGGATTCAACCTAACCAAAGAAGTAGAGGACCATGGAAGAAGGCCGAGTGAGACTAGCTGCGTTAAAAACTAGCAATTGCCCACAGAAGAAAACCATTGTCCGACTCCATTTTGGCCCAAGTTTCACAACAGAGTTTTTGTTTTTTCTTTGTTTCCTCGTTCTCATGCGAATGCTTCCACTTCGCGGACGGGGAATCGCCCTGGCAACTGTAGCGTTGTATGCGGTCTCTGCGTTGACGTTCTGTGGTGCCCCGGGCAAAACACGCCTGCAGCCGAATGATTTCAGCAAACGCAGTGATTCGTGGCTTAATTGCACCATGTGAAAGTGTTCCAGTGTTCCAACAAAAATGCCCAGCATGATGTGTTTTTTTCTCACTGGTTCACAGATGGAGGGGAATATCTCCAAATCAAAATGGTGGCCAGCGAAACCCACCAACTATTCATCTACTTGATTTTCCCTACAATTTTTCGTGTGTTCGGCAGGTTGATGAGAAGGCAAGCGGTGAAATTTATGACCAAGAAGAAAGCATCCTATGCAGACATTAATGTGGAGGACTTCTACACCGAGACCGTGAGTGGCGCTGGTGGGCCTCCCAAAGGTTTAGAACGTGACCTGATCACCAAATTCTTTGGTGATGGTGATTTCCATGGCCACGGTGATCATGAGGCTGACTGCTTGTATCAAACTAGTACGGAGCATCCTTTAAACGCGTGATGTTGGGCCAAACATGCCATTGGTTTTCTATGCGTGTTTTTCATCAAATTCATTTTAACTTGTGTGAGATAACTTGTACTGCATCGTTTTTCCCACAGAACGGGAGACACCAAAGTCTTACAATCCATACCTGTTCACTACGGCTAGGCAGCCTTCCAGAACTTTCGCGAGTGCATGGAGAAAGGAGAGCCTTTTGTTGGAGAAGATGACGGTAGCGGCTGGATTTGGGCTGTCGCTGGCCTCACTGTTGAAAACGGCCTGACCCTGGAAATTCGGAAATCCACCCCTTTGGGCATGCGAGCGCTCCTTGTGGCAAAGGAATCCAAGGTGGCAGAGATGTTTGATACCCTCAACTGGAAAATTGTGAGGCAGGAATTGACCGGATAGTCGGAAGAAAATGATTACCCATACATTACGGCAATCGCGGACTTGGTAAATTTGTATATATATTATGTTTATATATATATATACACACACATATATATATATGATAATATACACACACACACATACACACACACACATATATATATATATATATAAATATCTAAGAGTATGGATTAGTTTGGTCCAATTGCAGTGTGAAGGGGAGGCAGGCTAGAATTATTGAATTAAACATCATCCAAAAAAGGAATAGAATATCCTTTCTGTCCATTTGGGCCCTCCAAAACTACGATCCACAGAGCAAGCAAGACCAGACTTTGGCAGGCGGCGACTGAACGAGGTCTTGGGCCACCGAGATTCTGAGGGGGTGACTGTGCCTGGCTATAAGTCCCCATGACGTGGGAGCAGCACAGGTAAAAGATCTTGGAGCTGGGCAGGGTTGATCAGCAGGTTTGGGAATGGAACAAACTTATAAAATATTTCCAGAAGAGTGTGGAAAGGGTTTCAATTTTTACATTGCATCCTTTTTGCGGGGATGAACGTAGAAAACAAACATGCTATGTGGGAGTGTAAAATGAAATCCCTTTCCAACAGATGTGACACAGGCAGCATCAGAAGACACATCTGTAGTTGTAACTGTAAGAGCAAGTGGCATCGGGGAATTGCGGGAAGTTATCAGCTGCCATAGCTGCTCCAAAGACAAGGACAATTTCTCATTGGAAAGACTCCTGAGCCCAGAGTGTCAACTGTATACAGAGCGAAACGGCAAATGAACCCACTGCTTCCACATTTCTGCTGTTAAGCCGAATCAGCAGTTTGCTGATCATTTTCTTTTCATGCAGGGTTAGACCAGCAACCAACGTATGCAAAATGAGCGACTCCAGCCATGTGGTTGGAACCAACTGCAACGGCACCTTCGAAGAAGTGCTGCTGAGATTGCACTCCCTGGAGAAGCGAGTGGATCGGATCGATGGCAATGTGCAAGGCCACCCTGCAAGTTGAAATGTGAAAATCTTCGCACCTCGTAGTGTTGTAGGGTTTTTTCAGCTGGTGTTGGCTGGTTGTTTTGGTTAAAACGGTTTACGATGTACTTTGTACTTCACACTAGGTTCGACCACCGTTTTGTACGTGTCCCTGCCCATGTGCTTACCATGCCAACAGGTTCACCAAACTTCGTGGAACCCACGATCAAGTTGGAAGAGAAGATGCTTCAATTTGAGCTGCAGCTGGGCCAATTTTCCGGCGTTGTCAGTGGCTTGGTTGGAGTAAATCACTGATCTCCAGGTGTGGAACTATCTTGGCGGCAAGTTCACTGGTGGTCAGCTAACTCCAATTTTATCCCCTAGTTATTTCGATGATTTTACTTCAAAGACACCTCCATTTAGTTCGGGGATTTCCCAGCCATGGTCCCTTGTGGTCCCTTGTGGTCCTTGTGGTCCTCGTCTCCGAAGGTGGCGTGAAAGAAGCACTTCTCTCTCAGACAGGACAGTGTAGCCGCATCGAGGAGAAATGGTCGAGCCAGTTGCAGGCGCTCCAGGTGTTCCAGCTGAAATCTAGTGGAAGATTTCTTATGGATGACCCAAGAATCGTCTGAAATTGATGAAGATGTTCCCCAAAATGGAGGATCCTCAAATCCCCAAATCACCCTGATTTTGTCGTTTTGAATGAGTATAAACCAATTAGGAATGAGAAAAACATGTTTTTAGGGCACCCCATTGGTAGGAAATGCCCAATGAAACCTTGTGAATACAAACAATGCGCATACCATCGCATACCCACTTGACCAGTTGAAGTGCCAACTAAGGCCAACTTGCAAACCTGCGAGCTGCGCTTCACGACGGTGAGCCAACAAGTGGAAAGTTTGTCTAAGATGGAGTCTTGATTCGCAGTAGTGTGGTAAACCCAAGAATTAACCATTTAAGGATGGTTTATACTTCGGGATGTTTATAATAGGGTTTGCCACATTAGCACCAGCATTTCTTTAGAGTTTAACACTCACGGCCATACATCAAACCATGTCGCCCTAGTCATCATCGAAATCATGGCAAATGGATATTCATCTTCCCCAACCTGAATCATAATTTTTCATCCATCCCCATATATTATATAATTATTGTTGGCATACGCATGAACCAATAGATGAATCTACATGTTGAATTCGATAGCTGGGGCCTTCTGCCGTTTCTTTTCCAGGTGTCCAAAGTGACGAAGGAACAGCTCAAGGTTCACGACTCGTCCAATGATCCGTCAGTCGAGTCGCTTCAAGAGATGCTGGTGAAGATGAGCAGCCGTGTCTCGAACCTTGAAAGCTGCTGCGACTGGACTTAGAACATTTGGGTTTGTCTTAACAACTGGGGGATATACCATGGAATAATCCCATTTTGGTGGACTAGAAAAAAAGTGATGGAGTTTGGCGTGCCCCAGTTTCAGACAAACCCATTTCGTATTTTGTTGTCTATTTTTTTTTCAATGTCATGTGGGTAGACGGCTTGCTGCCCCTCCGGAACTCAAGACAGCAGACTGAGAAGGGAGTTTTCTCAGCACGCCACGCCCAGGTTCCGCGAGGGACAATCGAGCTGGAACCGCTGCTGGCGTTGCTTCCGAAGTTGTCCCTTTGAGACCTCAGATCGTGGAGCTGCAGGAGAGTGCCGAAAACTGTTGGGGCGACAAAAGATGGATTCAGTGGGACCTTGTGGCATGGTCACGCTTCTAAGAATGCATCGATGAAATACATGGTTTTCAAGTTCTGTTGTCAAGTCCCGGAGCACAATGGTGGCAACATGTGTTTTCTTGTGCAGGCCACCACTCAGCGCTTACGTACTGAAATTCTTGCCGCTCTTTCCAAACTTGAAGAACAAGCAGTGCACGTGAGCTCCTGCCGAATCCGGCTGGATGCTCTCGAGGCGGATGTAGTGCTCGAGGCAGATCTAACGTCACAACCGTAGGTGCTTTGCTGAAGACTGACCTGTTGCAACCCTGTTAGAAGAACTTCTTTTCTAGTGGATTTATATATATATATATATTATATTTATATTAATCCTAGACCAGCTCGTCGAGTTGAACAACCATGCAGTTGCAAAGTCAACTGCTGACGGACACCCTGGCTGCGTTCAAAGATGGGTCTGAGGAAAAAGAACAACCGCAAGTTGGTGCAGTGGGGCTATTCAATTCGGGGAACTACTCTGCCAATTTTGCCAAGAAGTGACCATCCCTTTGGCCACGCAATTGGATAGCCAAAAAGAGGATGCTTTTCAGTGCGGCCTAGAAGGATGACAAACAAGATCCACCATGGAAGAAACGAAGTTTTCCAGATATAGTCAAATATAGTCATATAGTGAACCCCTACCCCCTCCTATGATCACACCTTACTGATGTTTTCGCATCATCCTGGCATGCTAAGGTCTCAACAGCAGATGCAGCAGATGCAGATGCAGATGCTTGTCTCAGTGCTAGTTGGGTGGGATTGCCTGCAGTATATTTGGGGATAGAAAGGGCTGCTAGGGGCAGTGGATTAGCCTTGAAACGTTAGGCGTCCAAGTTTTGGGTTGACGCACAAAAGGGATAGATTTATCCGAAAGTCTTGAGGTTTTAGCATAGATTTGTCCTCCAAACCGCTCATTTTTGCTTCACCTTCATTTTAAGGACGTAAGTCTATAGGGGGGCCGTGTAAGAGGAACCCAGGAACCTAGAGCACACCAAGACCCCCAGTCATCGGGCCTTGCGCCAAATATGTTTCTGCGAGGATGATGATGCAACAAATGGCCATGCAGCAACAGATGGGTGCAATGCCCGGGTCTCAACGAATCCACAGATGCCCAGTGACCATTGAAGCAATTCTTCGTGAACTTTTGGGAGCCCACCATTCACAGGTGTAGATGATAATGTATTCCTTTTCGCAAGTGGCAAACTTTCTGGCTAGTATGGTGTCGCCTATTGAGAGAATGTCTACCAGCACTGCAATGATCGCCCTGCCGAGCGCACCGAGGTCGCCACAGATGCTTGCCGCCATGCAAGCGCAAGCGCAAGCGTTTTCAGGACAAATGCCGCAAAGTGGGCCGTGTAGAGCTCAGCTCGTGCGACTGCTGGAATTGAGTGGTTGCAATGGATTGATTTAAGAAACAATGCTCTGGCCATCAATAGGGTCTAGGGCTTTTGGGCGCAGGGTTTTCCTTCGAAATTAATAGCATCCGCATTTACAATTCTGGGATGAAGCTGTGAATGCTGCGTGCAGGATCGAACTTCAATTACTGCAAGTCTTTAGGGTCCCTCCTTGATCTAAGGAGCAATGGTTTGAATGCGAACGCCCCTGAGCACCTGACCCAGTTCTGAGGGTCTTGGGTTTTAAGGCTTTTTGCTATGGCATTCTAGATTCAATCTAAATCCAATTTGGCATGCAGAGGACTCGAAAGCAGCACTTGGCACATACTCGTACCACATGACATCGGTGTTCCAGTCGGTTTGATTGCCGTGTGAAGGTATGACCCCACTGCATCCATGAGTGATGACAAGGCCAGATCTCTACCCGCTTATTAGTGGGTTGGACTAACAACTAACCAATCTCTCTCTCTCTCTCGATATACACATACGTCTCTTCAACTGACATTTCCATCACTGCAACAGGTGGCACAGTCACAGCCTCAGGATCTCTGATTCAGTGGCAAAAGCAGGTGCATTTGGCACAAGATGACCCCAGGTATCTTGTCCAATGATTGATGGTGGTTCATGGCATCTGCCGAATCTGTGCCTTCTGCAGCCATTTTGGCCCGGGGGCGTCAGAGGTACCTCGCTGCCACGGCCAGGCCAAGCCCGGCCCAGCGACACGCGACCACGGCTCGCGACATGCGGCTGGATTGTGGTCGGGCCTTGTTGGAGATGGTGCTTCCGCAGCACCAAGAGTTGAGCTTTCAGGAGGTCAGTCAGATGGTTGAGAAGATTTCCTCCAATCTCCGCTTGCAAATGGATGGAAATGGTAAGGAAGGCAAGGGGCGCTACTTGGTAGCGAGATGTGCTCTGAAGGCTGGAGAGGTGATTGTGTCTGAGAGGCCGATCTTCGAAGGAAACACCGATGCCCAGAAGAGTGAGAAGATTTACTCTGAGGCCTTTCTCGAAAAACTTCAGGCCACTCCGGACATGGAAGATGATGTGGATGATTGCTTCCATCCACGAAGCCCTTTGATGGACTGCGTTGCGGCAGTGCTCCTGTCGAAGCAGCTCGTGGATGAGAAGTCTGCCTCTGCAGACATACGCGAAAAAGCTGTGTTGAATTTGCAGAAATTCTGCTCGCTTTGCAGAAGCCCAGTTCAATCAACAACTGATTACAACGAATGTGTGGAGGACCTATGGGGTGCCTTGAAGCCAGAGCTGCAGGAGATTACTTCCCGTGAGGAGTTGGGCCATGTGCTCCAGATTCTGAGCTGCAATCGCTTTGGACATGGTGGTCAGAGTGTGCAGTTGATGTTTGCCGGCAGCATGTTCGAGCACTCCTGCTTGCCAAATTGCTTTTTGGGCACGGCATGCACGGCCTCCCCAAATGCTGATGGACCTCAGACCTATAGAGCACTTCGAGACATTGAAGAGGGCGAGGTGTTGTCAATCGACTACTTGAACTTTCCATTAGGCTATTGTTCTATGACTGCTCGCGCAGAGGCTTTCCAGAAATGGGGCTTTACGTGCAGTTGCCCCCGGTGTGTTGAGCTACCCGAAGTGGAGCGCAGTTTCAATTGTGCCGAGTGTGGCGAGCCAGACTTGTGCCCCTGCAGGCCTGGAAGTTCAGTGCTGCAATGCCTTTCTTGCAAAAAAGTGGCCGACGCGAGCTATGCAGCTCGTTGCTTGGAGAGGGAGGCGCAGCTTCAGAGAGAACCAGCAAGTCCGGCACGAAAGGTTGGAGAAGAATCTGATGATGAGAATCTCTTAGGCCATCGTCATCACCTGGTGGTCCATGCCTTGTGGGAAGATGTGGAAGCTGGCCTTCCAGATTCCAAGGAGCTTCCAGCCTTTCAGCAGATGTTGGAGGTGTTGATTGAGAGCGTCTCGTCTGCCTCTAGGTTGGAGGAACACCCCGCCCTGTTGAACTTGTACCACCTGGCCGCCCTGTCCACACAAGATGACTTGGAAACTCAGAAACACTACTTGCAGCTGGAGCATCGTATAATGCAACGCTTCTTTCCCGAGGAAGCCCAGCGTCAAGATGATGAAATCATGTCACTGGTGAAGTGCAATGCACCCCTGAAACCCACAGAAGCTGGGCTCGGGGGAATGGACTGAGTCATTTGGCACATGTGGCGCGCCAATGACAAATCAGGAAGATTGAAAAAAAGTGCATCGCGACAAGCTGATTTCAAACGCTGTCAGCACTTTCGTTGTGAACTCTTGGTCTGATTCATCTCAAAAGACATCCATCTCTTTTGGAAAAAGTGTCGGGTGTTCAAGTCCAGAGTAGAAAGAACACGTATTGACAAGCTGACAGGCTGAGAGCGAAAACTGGCTGTTGACATGAAGTTGACATTAGCTCGTTGGATTCAGTATTCGCATTGCATCCACTGAGGCCGACGAAGGAGCCAACACAGCTAGAGACAGTGACAGCAGCGGGCACAGTCCTAGCTGCGCTGGCTGTAAGTTGGGAACATCAGTTCAGGAAGTTATCCAACTTATGGCAAGCTATTGAAATGGTCGTTTTCAGTTGCTTCTGCATTGCAGGGTTCCTTCCAATGCATTTCTGAGTGCAGTTATACTATATACAAGGCTCCCATGACAGATGCTGAGGGAGGGCACCACCTTGGCAGCCAAGGTGGGTCTATTTTTGGAAGAAATTGCCTACTTCATGGAGGCAACACACATTGTGGGGGGGAGGAATATGTGTTTTGTGGGGGCAACGGCGGGTGAGGTGCGGATTGAGTTCCAGATCTCGGGTTTCTCCTCTCATCCCACAATGGTGCTGCGTTTGGGTGAAATGAGAGCATCAAAGGGGCCCAACTCGACCGAGCAGGATATGGAGAGAGATCTCTGGTGGCTGCTGCGCATGGCTCACCAGCCTGTGTGGCACTCAAAGATCTCAAAGAAGTGAGAAACACCTTGGGCACAAGGCGGAAACCTGCTACTTTTACATTGATCAATGGACAGTCTCCATTCTCTGTTTAATGTCAAGTAAAGAGCCTAAACAAAACTTGTCAGTGACTTCAACTTCATTTCATTCCTCCAAGAACGGGATTGTTCCAACTTCCAACCCCAATGGTTGGCCGAAGCACCCTGCAGCTTTTTGATCCTGAGGCTGGGCCACCGGAGCTGATTCACGGTGACGAGGTCATTGAACCCGTGGATGCTGCTGTGGAGGCTCCGGTGGAGATCATGGCGATGCAGCGATGCACATTTCTGCCATGGTGCGGTGTGACGGTGATGGCAGGCAGCCATCCAGAAGTTGAAAGAGCGCGCAGACAAGCACGCGGAGGAACATGTGGCTCAGGCTGGAGCCCAGCAACTTTGACTCAGCTGCGTAGACATATTTTTGAGCAGTCTTGCACGTTTGGTACGTTGCAGTGCTAAATGTCCAGTCACGCTCACTTTGAATGGAATCTTGGGAAACCTGATCTTTCCGAAGGGAGCTGGGACTGAGCTGAAGGAATTTGTGTTCGTTCAGGTCCGCGCGAAGATAGTCATCATACCTTCAGTTGACAAGACCGAGTGCGATGGCCTACTGTCAGTTTGGGCCAGGGGGTTGACCGCCTGGGAACAGCATCTGACTTGCAGCGCCGGTGTGGCCAACTTCAGGCAGAATGTGTTGGAAGTGTCACTAGTTGTAGAAACTGAGGCACTGACCGCAGCTGTTGCCATCAAAGCAAAGGATATGGCATTGATGGAGCGTTCGAAATAGATCCCGTCAAAACTTAAAACCCATGGTTTTTCTATGTTTTTTTTCTGAAGGGCTTTCTGGTGGGAGGAAGGGTTGTTCAGTTCGGCAAAAGGTATGGCCAATGCACCACTCTGTTCAGTATGATTTTGAAGACCGTCATGCATATGCAAGTCCTTTGACATTCTTCCGCAGTCATGCGCCATCATGGTACGCTCCACCACTATGCAGCAACAGCTGAGTGGTTTCTTTCCTTCCCAAAACTGCTTAGGTTCCAGGTATGTTTAGGATTAGGATGATGTTCCCCCCAGATCCCAATTACCCAACACGCATATTCTATATGTATATAACTATACACACACACACGCATATATCATATATATATATTTAATACACACATATCACATATGTGTATAGTTTAAAATGTGTATCATATGGGCATATATGTACCACATGTACGAACACATAGGCGATGGACAAATCTGAACACTTTGACCACCGATCCCATGCATCCCATGCACAGAATGCACAGCCTTGTGGTGGGCGCCTCCCGCGGGCTGGGCCTAGCGCTCACGCGGCACCTGGCCGAAGTGGCGCACCGCGCCGGCGGCTCCGGGGGCTCCCAGGGCCGGGTGCTGGCGGCGGCGCGGCGGCCGGTGCCGGCCTTGGAGGAAGTGCGGAGGCGACAGCAGCTGTTTGGTGAATGGTGTGCTGTTTGATGATGGATTTACCATACTATACAGATACTATATTTATACTATATTTATACTATATAGATCCTATATAGATCTATATAGTTACTAGTAGCTGCTAGCTAGGAGTTATAGGTGGGTTCATTGCAACAATCTCTGACCATTGTGTTTGCACCTGTGACTGGATGTTGCTAACCAATGGTGGGGTAAGCCTAGGCACCTTTTGCGGGGTGGAATGGTAGCAGTATTCAGGAACACCCATGCGGCCAGCATGCTGTGATTGTTCACCAGGTCCTTCCCTGACATCGTCGAAATACTGGAACTTGATGTCACAGATGCTCGGCTTGGCTTTCTTGGACATTTGCATCATCCCGCACACTGCTTTATCATCTTTCATTGTACACATTTGGCAACATTATTTTTTGCACTGAATTTGACTCACATTCATCCAGAATCGGACAACATTAAAAGATTGTGCTGCACTTTGAATCGCAGCATCGCAGCATTATCTCCCACCTTGTTCAAGGATCCTGACAGCGTTTCCTCAGCAGCGTCCAGAGCCAAAGAGCTGCTGGAGTCGCCACGCGGCGGAGGCGGCGGAGGCGGCGGACGCGGCGGATTGCATTTGCTCTGCCACACTGCTGGGCTGCTGTAGCATGGCAGCAACGGGACCAACTTCTCTTGAGATACTTGGGTGTGGTAATCAATAAGCTGTTTGCTGTGACCACAATGTGTATCAGTAGGCATGTAGCTACATATATATATATATATCTCTTCTTGCAAGGGTGCAGCTGTGTGGCTAGTTTTTAGGTGTATCGTGGTTTATCTTTGTTCGTATTCATGTGCAGATTTTGCACGCCAGCAATCTGATATCATTGGCATGGTAGGCTCGTGTCTCCATCAATGCCATGTCAAGCACTGTGAGGCAAGACAAAGACCGGGGAGTGATCCCTGAGAATCACCTGCAAAAAGTTGAAGCGAATGCTTTGGCCTATTCCTTTGCTGTGAGCCTGGGTGCGAACGAGTTTTGGAACTGTTTCAGCTCTGTCACTTAGATGATTTAGTGAATTAGTCACCGAGTCCTGTTTTCTGAATTTCTGCTCGCTGCCCTGGCAGTTGGCCTTCACTCTGAGGAACGCGATTGGGCCCCTTTTGGTGTTGAAGCATTTTTCGCCGCTCCTCAAGGCCGGTGCTACAGATCAGAGGACTGAGGATAGCGATGTTCCTGGAGCAAGAGCCGTATTCTACAGCGCGCGCGTCGGCTCCATCGGCGACAATGCCACTGGACCTTTGGCTGAGAAATGTTTCAACTGTTCCAGGCTTGGTTCTCTCACCATGACCATGACCATGTATTTTCATGTTTTTTTGCTTCTAGATGAGGTGGCTGGTACTCTTACCGGAGCAGCAAGGCAGCATTGAACCAGGCCTTGTTGTTTGATGGGATGCCTGGTGACAGTCGCTGTTGGAGATGGTATCTCAATGTGGTTCACTTTCCGTCCCTTTTCAGCCTGTTGTAGTCAGAGAATCTGCCATGCAGATGGTGCGCTGCGCATCCATAGAACTCCGGCGACACTCGGTGTGCTGCTTTGCGCTGCACCCTGGGACGGTGGACACCGATCTCACTCGTGCCTTCGCACGTGCGAGAGCAAAGTACAAAGTGTGCCTTGGTGGTAAAGCATGTGTGGTGCACATGGTGGCTGATGTCTTTTCTCAAGGCTGAAGCAAGTCCACGCGTGTGGTTTTACGTCATGACACAATGTGTGCTGCATAGTCTTTTAGCCAAGGCAAGATGTAGATGAAGCCGTTTGGAGCTAAGTTTGTGAACGTATGGTGGTATACTTAGTATACTTCAATGTCGTATTGTCGTACTGGGCAATGTGGAAGACTGAGACTGGTTGTGAAACCAGGTCCAGAAGCATCTTCAAATCGTGGAGTCACGGACGATGGCAGATTCTGGGCGCTTCTTCGATTGGCAAGGGAAGGAAGTGCCGTGGTGACAGAGGACGGAGAGCAGTGGCATTCTATTTGTGTCATCAATCTGGTACACTTCTCATGTTGAAAAGATGTGAACATTCCAGGCCATTGTGGGCTCAATCCGTTTGGATTCCAGACATCTGGGCAATTTGTTTGCATGATTGCATTTGCCCGTCACTGCATTTCCCAAAGCCAAGCTTGCTGCAGCCCCAAAGAATGAAGATGGGCAACGCGCGACAACTGCATTGGAATATGGACCAGCTGCAGCGCTGAAAAGAGGAACCAAAGTCCGAAACACTTCAAGCGCCTCGTAGATGTGACCAACTATAGACCCATATCCACTGGACATAGGGGCGAACCCAAGCAAGCACGCAGTTCCTAGATGCTAGTACTCAGTTTGTAGGAGACCAAAATGATCCACAGGCAGACCAACCATCATAACCATCATCTCACATCCCCACTACATCACCATTTTATCAGCTTAAATCAATTGGTGATGGTAGATCAACCATTTCTCACGGTCAATCCCATGACTTTGACCTTCTTGCTCCCAAAAAATGCCGCTGTATGGTCTGCCTGGCGTGCCAAGCGGCACCTGCACCGTGGCCGCGGGCGCTTCTGTGCTGCTCCGCACCTCGGGGCTGGCGCTGCTGCGATGCTCGGCGATGCACCGTTGGTCGAGAGAATGGTAAGCCAGGATGAATAAACCGCCCAGTTTGTCAATAGTAGGGCCAGTAGGGAGGGTACTAGCTTTGTATAATATAACATAATCGAAATTCATCACTAATCACGAATAAGCCAGTTTATACTGTTCATTGATTCAGAGCCAGTTTATTGTTGGGATAAGAATGGCAAGCCAGTTGATTGACAATAGGGACTTTATTATGACTGTTTTGGAGGTAACCCCGTGGCATGGAAAAACAGGGTCTATTTGGGCACGTCCCTGCAGCGGGCTTTTTCAGCCAAGCTGACGATCAAAAACCTGCATAACATATTCATTGTAGGTAGACAAGATGATGAGCCAAAGTTTACTTGAAACAACCTTCCCTCTGTTTCACTTATTGTGAGTTTTTTTGTTTTTATCTCCTTCTTGTTTCCCGGGTAGAAAAGTTTCCCTCTAAACAAGTTTTGCAGACAAGCAACCTTTCTCGCGTACATGTCCTGCCTTGCTCTTTTAGGGACTACAGTATGAGGCAACGATTCTTACAAGTAGCCTAGATGATGGGGCAAAGGCTACTTGAAACAACTTCCCCTCTTTTGCACTTTTTGTATCGCGCACCTCCTTTTTATTACTGGGCTGGAAGGGTTTGCTCTCTGCGCAAGGTTCGGCCGAGAATCAGTACTCAATTTCCTTTTTTCTCTTTTATGTTTCTTGTCTTGTTTCCAGTTGCTGTTGCTGGGGTGGAAATTCTTTTGAAAGGGGCCAGCTTCTCTCAACTGTGCCGTCTTTCCTTTGCATTCCTTTTCATGTCCTGGCTTGTTGTTGCTGGGGGTGGACAGGTTGCCGTCGTTACGGGCCATGAGGCAAAACTTCTTTGACCTAGCCACGCTCTAGACGATGGGGAAAAGGTTACTTGAAACAACGTTCCTTCTTTTGCACCTCTTGTCTATTGTATCTCCTTATTGTTTTTGAGGAAGAAATCATTATCTACTTGCTGTTGGTGGGCCAGCTTCTCAACTGTTCTCTTTGCTTTGTACTCCTCTTCTTGTGGTTGTTTGCTGTTTCTGAGGTGGACAGGTTGCTCTTTGAGGTTTTCACTTCCACCTCTCTTGTCTTGTTTGTTGTTGCTGTTGCTGGTGTGAAAGGGCTTTCGAAGGGGATGGGGTCAGCTTCTCTCAGCTGTGTCGTCTTTCCTTTTCATTCCCCCTCTTGTACTTGTTTGTTGTTGCTGGGGTTGACAGGTTGCCGTCTTTAGGGACAACTCTAGATGATGGGGCAAAGGTTACTTGAAACAACCTCACCTCTATTGCACCTCTTGTGTGTCGTTACTCCTTTTTGTTTCTGGGGTGGAACGGTTTCTCTCTAAACAAGCTTTGGCCGATAATCAACTATCACCTTCTTCTTTCACGTTTACATTTGATGTCTTGTGATTCTTTACTTGCTGTTGCTGGGACAGTTTCTCAACTGGTGCCTTTGCATTGCAGTACTCTTCTTGTGGTTGTTTGTTGTTTCTGGGGTGGACAGGGTGCTCTCTTAGGGACTACAGTATGAGGCAACGCTTCTTACAAGTAGCCTAGATGATGGGGCCAAGGTTATTTGAAACAACTTACCGTTTTTTGTTGTTTTTAATTGTAACTCCTTTTTCTTACTGGGCTGGAAGGGTTTGCTCTCTACGCAAGGTTCGGCCGAGAATCAGTACTCAATTTCCTTTTTTCTCTTTTATGTTTCTTGTCTTGTTTCCAGTTGCTGTTGCTGGGGTGGAAATTCTTTTGAAAGGGGCCATTCTCTCAACTGTGTCGTCTTTCCTTTTCATTACTTTTCGTGTCCTGGCTTGTTGTTGCTGGGGGTGGACAGGTTGCCGTCGTTACGGGCCATGAGGCAAAACTTCTTTGACCTAGCCACGCTCTAGACGATGGGGAAAAGGTTACTTGAAACAACGTTCTCTCTTTTGCACCTCTTGTCTGTTGTATCTCCTTATTGTTTTTGAGGAAGAAATCATTATCTACTTGCTGTTGCTGGGCCAGCTTCTCAACTGTTCTCTTTGCCTTGTATTTCTTTTATTGTGGTTCTTTGCTGTTTCTGGGGTGGACAGGTTGCTCTTTGAGGTTTTCACTTCCACCTCTCTTGTCTTGTTTGTTGTTACTGTTGCTGGTGTGAAAGGGCTTTCGAAGGGGATGGGGTCAGCTTCTCTCAGCTGTGTCGTCTTTCCTTTTCATTCCTCCTCTTGTACTTGTTTGTTGTTGCGGGGGTTGACAGGTTGCCGTCTTTAGGGACAACTCTAGATGATGGGGCAAAGGTTACTTGAAACAACCTCCCCTCTATTGCACCTCTTGTGTATCGTTACTCCTTTTTGTTTCTGCGGTGGAACGGTTTCTCTCTAAACATGCTTTGGCCGATAATCAACTATCACCTTCTTCTTCCACGTTTACATTTGATGTCTTGTGACTATCTACTTGCCGTTGCCAGGCCACCTTCTCAACTGCTGCCTTTGCTTTGCAGTCCTCTTCTTGTGGTTGTTTGTCCTTGTTTGTTGTTTCTGGGGTGGACTGGCTGCTCTTTTAGGGACTACAGTATGAGGCAACGCTTCTTCCAAGTAGCCTAGATGATGGGGCAAAAGTTGCTTCGAAAAAACTTACCGTCATTTTTGTATTTTTTCGGGAATTGTCAAAGAATTGTATATAGTTCCTTTCAATTACTGGGCTGGAAGGGTTTGCTCTCTGCGCAAGGTTCGGCCGAGAATCGGTACTCCAATTTCCTTTTTCTCTTTTATGTTTCTTGTCTTGTTTCCAGTTGCTGTTGCTGGGGTGGAAATTCTTTTGAAAGGGGCCAGCTTCTCTCAACTGTGTCGTCTTTCCTTTTCATTACTTTTCGTGTCCTTGCTTGTTGTTGCTGGGGGTGGACAGGTTGCCGTCGTTACGGGCCATGAGGCAAAACTTCTTTGACCTAGCCACGCTCTAGACGATGGGGAAAAGATTACTTGAAACAACGTTCCCTCTTTTGCACCTCTTGTCTATTGTATCTCCTTATTGTTGCTGGGTAGAAAAGTTTCTCTCTAAACATGCTTTGGCCGATTATCAATTGTCACTTCCTTCTTTTACGTTTACATTTGATGTCTTGTGATTATCTACTTGCTGTTGCTGGGCCACCTTCTCAACTGCCGCCTTTGCTTTGCAGTCCTCTTCTTGTGGTTCTTTGTTGTTTCTGGGGTGGACAGGCTGCTCTTTTAGGAACTACAGTATGAGGCAACGCTTCTTCTACGTAGCCAAGATGATTGGGCAAAGGTTTCTTGAAACAACTTCTCCTCTGTTGTACCTCTTGTGTGTTGATGTGTGTTGTATCTCCTTCTTGTTTCTGGGGTGGAAGGGTTTCTCTCTAAACAAATTGAAGATGATAATCAATTATCAATCTTTGGCGTTTACATTCCTTGTCTTGTATCTAGTTGCTGTTGCTGCAGTGGAAGGGCTCTTGAGGGGAGGCGGGCCAGCTTCTCTCAACTGTTGTATTTCGTTTGCGTTCCTTTTCTTGTATTTGCACATTGCTACTGGGATGGACCAGGGGGGGGCTATTTAATTCCTCTTGACATGAAATAGCTTTGGTTGTGGGGCAAGGGCTGGTTGAAACCATCTTCTATCCTTTGCGTCTTTTGTCAGGTTCTTTTTTAATTTGCTGCTCAGGTGGAAAGGTTAGCTCACGAGACAAATTTTGGGCCGATGTGGGCCGATATGGGCCGACAAAATGTCTTTGCTCCCCGTCTCATTTTTTGTTGTCTGTTTTAGTTGCTGCACTGGCATGGTTGTCTTTAGAAAAGGCTGGGCCAGGTTCTCTCACTTGCTGTCTTGTCTTAGCATTCCTTGTCTTGTCTTCGTGTGCTCTTTCTGGACTGGGCACATTGCCACCTCTAGGGACAGTGAAGCAAATCTTTGAAAAAATATCCTGTCCTCTGCATCTTACTGTAATCCACAGACCATCTCCTTGGCTTGGTGGTAGAAGGATGGGCTATCTAGACAAGGCTGAGCCAAAAACCATTCTTCAACTCCATGCCTGCCTACGCCTCTTTACTTTTGTCTTGTAAGTACCTGAGTGCTGTTGCCGCATTGGAAAACTGTGTTCTTCAGGGCAGGTTTGGCCAGCTTTGGTCAACTGTTGCCTTTTCTTTGCATTTCTCTTCTTGTCTTCGCGTGTTAGTATAATCGGTTTCTTGCCACTAGAAAAAATGCGTATGGATTTTGGGCCGTTGTGGTCCATACATATTGACCTTCTAGCAGGCAGAAAATTGCATGTTTTTCGTTCATGCATATGCAATTGAAATGACCCAAAAGCTCTGGTTAGGCTAAATTCTATCTATTAGGTTATATCATGTTA